CCACTAAGCACCAGTCTCTTTCTCCAGGGAGGTCCCACTTATGAACCTAGATGCCACCTCACCAGGGATAAAATTGAACAGTTATTTTCTCCCCACAAGTCTAAACTCCCATTCCATCTTCCCCCCCTTGCATGGCAGTCTGAAGTTTCACCCCCTGGAGAGTGCAAAGTGTTTGGTCTTTTCCTGAGAGATCTGGGCATAGTGTGGACCACCAACCATCAGGATGGAATTTGTGACTAATGGGTATTAAAGAGGGTGTGGGAAGAAAGGGACGCTTGGCTGGAGGAGCAGTCCCCTGGTTATGACTATGCCCAGCCATTGGTGGTGTTGACCCTTGGTTTGGGCTGTGTCTGGTGGGACAGAGTGCAAACCCCACAGTTCTGACAGCATTTACAGTGGGAATGTGATTGCCCCATGTGGATTGAGTTTGGCAGGCAGGGCTGGTCCCCAGCCCCTGCTGAGCCTGCAGGCAGAGGCTTATCAGACATGGACTGAGACCTTAGGGCAAGGACATGGTCCCCTGTCTCCAGCTGGGTGGTGAGCAGAGGCTTATAAGGTGAAGACTGAGACCTAAGGGCAGAGTGTGGTGCCCTGACTCTAACGAAGCCTGCGAACCGAGGCTTGCCAGACAGTGGACTGAGATTGTCAGGCAGGAGCAGGGTCCCCTGACTCCAACTGGTCTGGCAGGCAGAGGCTAGTTCAGTGTGGACTGAGACTGGTGGGCGGGGGCCTGGCCCCTGGCTCCAACTGGGCCTGTGAGCAGAGAAGCAGACAACAGTGTGGACTGAATCTGGTGGGCAGGGGCATGGATCCCTGGCTCCAATTGTACAGTTGGAAACCTTTGAATCTCTTTCTGTTGAGCAGGGTTTGCACTGAGACAATTTAATTGGAACTCATGTTTGAGGCTGTCTAGTCAAGGACATTCTGAGGCTGACCTTAAAAGTTCTGTATCAGAAAAGAACTGAAGGGTGGGGGCTGGGCACCACAGCTGTATCTCTTCATAGCCAAGATTTAAACCTAATACTGTGGCTTCTTAGGATAGGGTAGAGTTGGCTGATATCAAAACACAGCTAGCTTGCACTATCTCACCAAGTAGGTCCTCAGAGTCTCCAGCCAAAACTCTGAAAGGGGCCTTTGTAAGGCTGTAGGAGATAAGCCACAATTACAAAGCCTAGCACTTTGGTAAGGAGTTGTCTCTACTACCTGGGAACCCCAATTATTCAGTCTCACCTTATCAATTCTAATAACCAAATGGTGGAAAATAAACATGGTGAAAACCCAACAGAAGAACTCTGACAACATAAATAACTTGAGTAGATCAACCCCCCAAGAAATGACAAAGGAGATACAACTGAAGATGTTATGCACAGACAGATGGCAGCAATGTCAGAAATCCAATTCAGAATATGGATGGCAAATAAGATAAATAGAATGGAAGAAAAGATAGAAATTGAATTCTAAAGATTGTCTCAAGAAATTAATGAATTCAAAGACAAAGTCACCAAAGATAGAGACATAATGAGAAAGAAGATAGCAGAGCTCAAGAAAACAAAAAAGTTAGTTGAGGAGCTCCAAAATACAGTAGACTCCCCAGTAATAGAGTTGACCAGTCAGAAGAAAGGGTCTATGAAACTGAGGACAAAGCTTTTGAACATTCCCAAATGCTCAAAGAGGCAGACAAATGGAGTGCAAAAACTGATCATTCCCTGAAAGAGCTGTGGATCAATCCAAAAGATCAAACATTTGTCTTATAGGAATTCCCAAAGGAGAGGAGGATGGTCCTAAATGTACAGATGCTCTACTCCAAGAGATCTTGGAGGAGAATTTCCAAGCATTGCAAGAGATAAAGATAGTAGACATTCTCAGAACACCAGCAAGACTCAATCCAAATAAAACATCTCCTAGACACTCCTTTTGATTAACGTTGCCAAAGTTAAGATGAAGGAGAAGATTCTGCAAGCAGCCAGACTTAAGAAAAACATCACCTACAAAGAGAGAAATATCAGAATGACTGCAGATTTCCCAGCCAAAACATTTCAAGTCAGAAGAGGATGGTCAACAACCTTTAATCTCCTAAAACAAAACAACTTTTAGCCCAGGATCCTGTATCCAGCTATACTGAGTTTCATTTGTGATGGAGAAATTAAATGCTTCAAGGACATACAAATGTTGAAGAAATTTGCCGTAACTAAACCAGCTCTCCAGGATATTCTCAGACCCATCCTCCACAATGACCATCACAATGTTCTATCTCCAAAGTAAACTCACCCAGAAACTTTTGAACAAAACCCAACTTCCATAATGGTGAAAGGATTAAAAATGTCCATTGGACATCCAAAAATCATGATACCCCAAACACAACCAGACTTATGTATTCTCTCAATTAATGTGAATGGTTTACATTGCCCTCTAAAGAGGCACAGGCTGGATGACTGGCTACATAAACTCAGACTGGATATCTGCTGTATCCTAGAATCTCATCATACCTTAAAGGATAAAAATAGACTCAGGGTGAAGGGAAGGACTTTTACAATACAGGGCAAATGGAAACCAGAAAAAAGCACGGGTTGCAATTTTAGTTGAAGATACTATTGGCTTTAAATTGACAAAGATAAAGAAGGATAAGGACGGTCACTACATATTTGTCAAGGGAAACATCTAACATGAAGAGGTTTTGATAATTAACATTATTCACCCTATCAGAATGTTCCTCAACTTACAAAGCAAACCCTAATGGATATGAACAACTTGATATCTTCCTGCACTATAATAGTTGGATATTTTAACACCCCTTTGACACTTTTGGATCTCTCCTCCAAGAAGAAATTAAACAAAGAAATATTAGACTTAAATCTGACCCTAGAACAAATGGACTCCACAGACCTCTACAGAGCATTTCAACCTAATAAAACTAAATATACATTTTTCTCATCAGCCCACAGATCATCCTCTAAAATAGATCATATCCTAGGACATAAGTCCAACCTCAGAAAATAGAATAGAAATTATTCCTTGTAACTTCTTGGATCACCATGGAATGAATGTTGAACTAAAAAGCAACAGGAATCTTCAGACTCAAACAAAGTCATGAGAAACTAAATAATCTTAGGCTGAATGAAAGCTGGATCAAAGACAAGATTAAGAAGAAAATCGCCAAATTTTTGGAACAAAATGATAATGAAGACACAAATTATCAAAACTTGTGGGATAATATAAAGGAATTCCTAAGAAGGAAATTTATAGCATTGGAAGCCTTCATCAAGGAAACAGAAAGAGAGAAAGCCAATAACTTAATAGATCATCTCAAGTAACTGGAAAAGGAAGAACATTCCAACCCCAAACCCAGCAGAAGAAAATAAATAACCAAAATTAGGACAAAATTAAAAGAAATTGAAAACAAAAGAATCATTCAGAAGATCAAAAAAACAAAAAGTTGGTTTTTTGAAAAGATTAACAAAATTGATAAAATTTTGGCCAACTTAACCAGAAACAGAAAAATAAAATCTCTAATACCGTCTATCAGAAATGATAAAGGAGAAATAACAACAGAAATCTCAGAAATTCAAAAATCCTCAATGATTACTACAAAATCTTTATTCCCAGAAATATGAAAATCTGAAGGAAATGGACCAATACCTGGAAGCACACCACCTTCCTAGACTCAACCAGAAATAATTAGAAATCTTGAATAGACCTATATCAATCACTGAAATAGCATCAACAATATGAAATCACCCCAAAAAGAAAAGTCCGGGACCAGACAGCTTCACATTCGAATTCTATCAAACCTTTCAAGAGGAACTAGTACCTATATTATACAACTTTTTCCAAAGCATGGAAAAAGAAGAAATACTTCCCAACACATTCTATGAAGCAAAATCACCCCAATCCTTAAAGCAGGAAAGGCTCTAACAAAGAAAGAAAATTATAGGCCAATATTATTAATGAATATTGATGCAAAAATACTCAATAAGATCTTAGCAAACAGAATTCAACAACACATTAAAAAAATTATACACCACAATCAAGTTGGTTTTATTCCAGGATTACAGGGAAAACCACGCAAACATATGCAAATTTATACATATAATACATCACATCAATAAAATAAAAAACACAGATCATATGATTCTCTCAATTGACACAGAAAAAGCCTTTGATAATATCCAGTATCCTTTCATGATCAGAACACTTAAGAAAACATAGACGTATAGAAAGGAAATTTCTTAAACTGATAGAGGCCATCTACAGAAAACCCACAGCCAATATCATATTGAATGGTGTAAAATTGAAAACATTTCCATTCAGGTTAGGAATG